GGCGATGCTTCTGGACGCCAAGGCTGCCGTGAACCGAGCGATGACGGTACTCTACTCTCAAAAGTGGTGATGGTCGAATAATGCGTGTGCTAGAATGGGTATTCTCCGTTGTTTTTGGCGGCGCAGTTTGGCCATGAGCTTGATGCCACAACGCTGGTGGCCGCCGGCGCAGATGTCCACCAAGTCGACGCCGTACGCTGCTCTTTGAATCTCCGTCACCTCACGTGCCTTGGTACACTAGGAGGGCGCGACGCCGCTCTTTATTGCAGCCCAAAACGGACACGACGCGGTCGTTGCGGCGTTGATCGTAGCAAATGCCGACGTCCACCAAACCATGAAGGTATCCCTGCTGCCGGTTATCGGGTGCCACAAGATGACACATAGGATGGCGCGACGCCGCTTTTTGTTGCGTGTCAGGACGGCCACGTTGCTGTCGTCACGACACTACTGGCGGCGAATGCTGTTGTCAACCAGGCGATGAACGTGCGTTGTTCACGCCACTGCCCATAGCCAGAACGGCTTGACACCGCTCATTAAGGCGGCTCAATTTGGCCATGACGCGGTTCTGGCTCTTCTTCTCTCGGCCAATGCAGCTATCGACCAAGCCAACAGTGTACGCCCTTGATACATCCGAAAGCACAATGTATGAATGTCCTATATGTAGACGGGCGCGACGCCTCTTTTTAGGGCGTCCATCAACGAACGCAACTCGACGGTCAAGGTGCTCTTGGCGGCCGACGCCAGCCCCAACCAAGCCGCCGACGTACTCTTCACTGTGATGAATATTGCGCTTCAACCGAGAGGTGCTAGGACGGCGACACGCCGCTCTTGGCCGCCACGCGCAGTGGCTACCTCGATATTGTACAGAGCCTCCTGGACGCCGGCGCCGACGTCAACCAAAGCCTCACGAGCGGCTTCCCATTTGAAGATTATGAGCTTTTGGTACGAGGATGGCATCTCTTGTGTGCTTCTGACGTGGCGCTGTGTAGCCTGGCACGACGCCGCTGATGCTTGCTGCGCTGTGTGGGCGCAAAGACGTTGTGCGTACGCTCCTCCAGCACCACCCCAACCTCCATGCGTGCGACGAGGTACTCTAGTGCAGCTGCGTAGTATACAACAAACGGTCCGGACAGTGACGTAGGAGGGCCGCACAGCGCTGAAAGTGGCGGCTGCTGGCGACCACGCAGCCATCGTGCAGCTCCTCGTGAACGCCAGTGCCAACTCGCCTGCGGACGTGCGATGTGACAAAGCAGAGCGTGTCATGGCAACGACGCTCGAGGCGCTGCTGAATCGCACCGAGGAGCAAGCCATCCACGTGTCGATCCCCTGCGATGCGTGCAAGACAGCGAACGCGCTTTCGACGACCTCCGACAAGTGTGTGAGCTGCGGTCAAAGCCTTCCGAACGACGACGAGAAGCTGCGCGTGCTTGTCGAGGGCCTTCACCTCACGGCGACGACCGCGTAAACCTGCGATGGGCTGCATCTAATGTGAACACATTTTCAATAGCATCACGCTACAGCTCTCTCTACGTATGCCATGCACAATATGACGACTTGTACCCGGTCTTTCGTATGTACTGTACACAGTGCGGCGCTCATGACACGAACCCTGCAACGGCGTCGAGAAGCTACACCTGCACTCGTACCCGCGCTGGGCAGCAGTAGATTAGTGCGCATTGCCCGATGCAACTACACTCGCATCTAGACAACCAGCGTCCGTGTGAGCTATCCTGACAGCACGACCTCCAAGATCGTCTTGCCATTCGAAGTATGCATAAAACTTCGTGTCGTACTTCGCACAAATTGGCAATCTTGCGTTTACTATACCATACAATGCTCAAGTACTGCGATGTGCGTGGCACGCTGCTGGCAAGTCAAGTGAGAACCATGGTGCTGCCTTCTTGTCGCGGCAAGGCGCCGTTGACACTTTGCTTGAGCATAGGAAGACGAGCTGCTTACTGCCGCGCTGCATGGCCACACGAGCGACGCCCAGCGCCTCCTCGATAACGGTGCGAGCGTGCACTCGACCAACAGCGTACGTCACAATGCCATCGTCGCCTGGACGCCTTAGTCGCATTGGCGTAGCGTGGCGCGACAGCACTGCTAGTGGCGGCCGAGAACGGACATACCGACGTTGTTGCAGTCCTCCTCGCGGCCAAGGCCGGTGTCAACCACGCCGACCTTGTACGTCGCTCCGAGATGAGAGATCGCCAAGCTCATCGAGGTGCTGTAGAACGGCGAGACGCCCTTGTTTGCCGCGTCACGCCGCGGCCATCGCGATGTTGTGCGTGTATTGCTCGATGCAGGTGCAAACGTCGACAAGAGCCTCCAGCTTGGCTTTCAAGACCGCGGTGTGCGACTCCGCGTAGGCAACGCCCGGGTAAAAGCCTTCTCACGCATATCTTGTCTAGCCGGGTGCGACGCCACTTCTGGCCGCTGCGAGATTTGGCCACGAGGAGACGGTTCGCGTCTTGCTATCTGCAAAACCCAACATCAATGCCTTTGACGAAGTCAGACGTGTGATGAAGCAAATCACCTCATGCTACATTGTACTGGTGTAGAGCGGCGAATTGGCCGTGACGGCAGCAGCGTGCGCCGGCCATGCCTCGATTGTGCACCTGATCTTGCATGAAAACAGCGACTATAACGAACCCGTAGCTCGCACAACCCTACGCGTGGTCGGGCTGATGGCATTGGTCTAGGCCGAGATGACTGTGGTGGGATCGTTCAGTCCCGCGCCATCGAGACTTAATCATGTCATGTCGCAGCACGACCTTGGCCTCTCGTATGCACCAGCGGCCACCGACAGCTTTGAGAGGCTCCGGGGGCGCGAGCTCGTTGATGCAGTGGTTGCCAGCGACGCCGCTGCCGTCAAGGCGCTTGTAGCGCTGGGTGCGCACCCGAACGCAACGAACGCGGTCTCGTCCATCGTTTATATGCAAGCCGTTCCCATGGTCGTACATGGGGTGTAGGAAGGTGAGAGCGCACTGCACCTTGCTGTGCGCTATGGCGAGCCCCGCATCCTCGAGATGCTGCTGCGAGCGCCAGGGGTCGACAGCCAAGCGCGCAACCCGGTCTCGTGATGCACAATAGCATTGGCCCCACGGAATCTCGCGTAGGATGGCGAGACGCCACTGGTGTTAGCGATCAAGCTGCGCCACCGCCGGTTCCCACACCAAATTTACAACGTCGTTCACCAAATCGCCGACGATGTACGAGTTGATGACGGCGCCGTCCACTGACACGACGTAGGTGCATGAGACTGCGATTCAGATCAATGCAAACGCTCTCCTCGGCGACGGCGGCTTTGGCTACGTGCACAAAGGCATGTACAAGAACGAGCTTGTCGCAGTCAAGTCGGCTAAATACGCGGCCGGCGCCAATGACCTTTACG